CCACCATGCCCAGCTCATTTTTTGTAGTTTTAGTAGAGACGGGGTTTCACCATGTTGATCAGGATGGTCTCGATCTCTTGACCTCGTGATCCACCCGCCTCGGCCTCCCAAAGTGCTGGGATTACAGGCTTGAGCCACCGCGCCCAGCCCGATTACCATTTTTAATGGACAGCTTAGTAGTGTTCAGGTATGATACCCTTCCCAGGTGACAGAATCTGGCTGGGATTAAGATAGAGTTCTTGGCTCATTTTTGCCTACTCCCTTCATATGGCAAAGGGTCCTGATTTTCCACTGAGAATGGCAGAAAAAGTTGCCCTTTGACGTAAATGTCTTTGGGGAAGAAGCATAAGCAAATATGAAACAAATGCTAACTATTAATAACCAATGTTATGAATTAGCAAAAACGAGAGTTGCCTTCGGGGCTTTGGGGAGCAGTGACGTGGGTTATCTCACTGCTTGCACCATCCCCCCCATAAGAGGCGGATGTCTCCCAGGCTGTAGGGTAGTGGCATGATTTTGGCTCACTGCAACCTCTGCCTCCTGGGTTCAAGCAATTCTCCTGCTTCAGCCTCGTGAGTAGCTGGGATTACAGGCACCTGCCACCACACTTGGCTCATTTTGCATTTTTAGTAGAGACGGGGTTTCACCGTGTTGGCCAGGCTGGACTCAAACTCCTGACCTCAAATGATCGGCCCTCCTCAGCCTCCCAAAGTGCTGGGATTACAGGCGTGTGCCACCGCGCCCAGCCTCCCTGCCCCATCTTAATGAGGAGCTGTCAAAAGCTCAGAGAGGGTCACACAGCGAAGCCCTGGACTGCCCCGCCATGACAACCCCAGAAACGGGAGGAAAGAGATTTTCTGCAAAGCATTCTCAGGCACCAGGGTAGATGCTCAGTTTCCACTGGCACTAGCAGGTAACAGCAGAATCATTTGTTCATTTATTCAACAAACTCAAATGCCCTTTCTGTCTCTCATTCTGTGCTGGGCTTTGCTGGGTCCTGGGAGAGAACTCACACTTCGACCCTACTTTGGGTTCTCGGTGAAGGAGTTTCCATGTTGATAAGAACAGAAAACACAACTACAGTGACTTAAGCAACAGGGATTGTATTGGTTTATAAAATCGAATCATCATGGGGGAATGTGGCTTTCAGAGTGGGTTTGATCCAGCAACTCGATTCAACTGACTTTTTTTTTTGTAGCTATTGTAAATGGGAACACTTTCTTGATTTCTTTTCAGCTATTTTATCATTGATGTATAGAAATGCTACTGATTTTTATATGTTGATTTTTGTATTTT